GTTTAACATCCATTTGAACATTCTCGTCTCGTCCACTCCAATTTGTTCCGAGCGGTCTCTTGTATTTACGTTTTCCAATCAGAATTTTGTACGCATTCTTCATTTTCCCATTAGTCCTATTAGGTAAAGATCGGAAATTACAAAGCTTCTCAATACACAAACTTCTTTAGCCTCCTGCCATTTCATTCCTCTTAGGTCCAAACACATTCCTCAGCACTGTTTTCGAACTGCCTCAATCTGTGTTCTTCCGTTAATGTGAGAGATTAAATGTTACATCCATATACATCAACAGGTAAATTTATAATTTTGTATATTTTAATGTTTACGTTTTTGGAAAGCAGACGAGAAGATACAAGATTCTGAATTGCAAGTAATCTCTGAATTTAATCTGATCTGAATGCATTCATGAAAGCAATTTTGATTTGTTGCTGCCATATCGTAATACCTAAACTTTTCCACGTTTCCGAATAATTTATAAGTTATCCATATACACTGATATCGTCTTGCAGTCTGGTAACGACACACGGACACAGGCCTACATTTGCTTTCTTTCTTGTTTACTCCTACTAACAAAGTTTCTTGCCAGCATATAATAGAGCTTCATTGTCTTTCACTGTATTTATTTTCAATCAGCATATTAGCATCAGTAGCACAGACGATTTAACAATAATCAGATTAAATATGTATCTGAAAACTTCTGATTCTGATATGTTTTCGTTCCTCAGATAAAAAAACGACGTGCCAGGGGGGAAGACGTTCATCCCTTCACATTTTAAACGCTTAAGCTCACATATCAAAATTAATTTTCTTTATGTTTTCCAGCACATTTTTACAATGTCGCCTTTGTCTGTTACATCCTGTTAAATTTATAAATAATCTACATAAAAAAGCAATGATACGAGAACATTTTTATTTTATTTTCCCAAAGCCCATTACCTGAGTAAAAGTTTTAACTCAGTATTTGTAATTTGCATTTTACATCCAGGCGGAAGAATTACAGTACAGTTATTTCACAACAAATTTTCAGCACAATTCTATTACACCGGACAGAAGTAATTATTTAATCTTTATTAACACCAAAAGCTTTTTGTTCACTGCCGTTGTAATTTAGATAGACGCGTTGTTATTAATAAAGATTAAATAATATTACAAGCTACGCGATATGACAGGACATAAAAGAGATGTCACATAATCCAGTAACATGAAATTAAGCTAGCTCTGCAGGCCGGGGATTTAGACAAATGTCAAAGAACTTAACTTCGATGCGGTGTGTTTATCACACGTGCAATGATTTTATTTCTTCCATACAGACGAAAACTCATACAACGTAATTTCAGAATGATGACTTAAACTGAATATATCAAACTATAAAGCGAACGAATCACATACGCTTTCGGCTTAATCGTATTTCCCTCTTCTACAAATCTAGTATTAACCCTGTTGCACGTGGAATCAAGAACATGACCATAACGTTCTTGTTCCAAGTGGGTTAAACCATACAAACTGCAGGTAAGTGGTGTTCAAAATGTAGGACCGTTATTCGATTTAAACCCATGTGACGTATGGTCACGGGAAGTTTCTAATTGGTGAATTTGACTGACAGGAAGTGAGTGATATGACCTCATCCTTCGAGTGTTGCAGAAAACCGGATAGTTCAGCACTGCCAACAGCAAAACCCGTTGGGTAAGGCAGTTATCGCCCCAACTTATTTTTCTTAAGACGCATTTAAAATGGTTTAACATACTCGTTCTTCTGCTTGCCCTTCATAGTGGATGCTTTCATTGAGATTTACCCACATAATTACGTACGAATGTCGTGTTTCTAAACTTTCGAAAAGGGGGGAAGAATATTTTTTTCCGAATTCTTCACTGGTCACAAACAACCAAAACATAAATACACGAGTAAAAAGTTTTAGAGTTATCCTATATTCCAGACTAAACAATTTATGTGCTATTGTTTTTGATAATTATTAACATGTTTTCAAAATATGTGTCTATGCTTTGTGCATGCTCCTATATGATTACCTGCAATTTTTCCTATTTATATGTGGTTTCTATGTTCTTCTCTGTCTCATTTATTGAATTTAAAAGACATGATTTCAGAACAGAATTTCGGTATAATCTTCGACTGCAGTCAATATGAATGTACCTCTGATGATGTCATAGATTCGTTTAAAGGTATTGGCATAAAGTTTATATTAACGCAAATATTAAACATTTGTATTTTACGGTCTACTTATTTATAAAGTAAGTCATATACACTTTAATATATAAAATTATCTAAGCCTATAAGCACCACTGTATGGCTACTATGTAACAATATACGGGTTAATGAATACAAATTATTCAGTTCCAGATGTTGGTTAAACTTATATGTGTCTGTCTGTACATGGTCCAGATTTCTCCAGGACTGAATCCATCGTGCACTGAAAGCTCAGCCCAAAACTTGTCTTCTATAAGTGAGAGAAGTTTCATGATTAATGATTACAGAACTGCGTGTGCATATTTGGACACGTACCTTTTACAGGGATACGAAATACAAGAAATGGAAATTTTCTGCAAAAATGGGCCAGTGTTAAGTTGGTATTTATATATTTTAGCACTAACTTTGGGTGCGAGCGCGAAATACCAGCTTCTCGTCAACTGTCACAGTTGTTTCTGGTCCCTCAAAACCTGGCAACCATAACATGCGAACGGAAATAGTACACAACAATTTAAGGAAAAACCATTGTGTCTTAAATTGTAAAAATAACTTACCATTCTATACAAAAATAGTTTCCATTTATTTCAATTGTCGGAGGGGAAAGACACGCAAACTGCAATATTTTTTAGCCTTTTAAATAAGAATGTTTACACATGTTTCCGGGGTCAGAACAAATAACACAAACACGACGCATTCGCTGGCATCTGCACTGTGTTACAGTGAAGATCTGGCTCCCGTCAGTATATGCAAGCTGCAGGCTGATACAGGGACGTCCAAATCATTCCAAAGCCAGACACGACATTTTCACTAAGTGCAAACATTTTTTTTACAAATGCGGGGAAATTAATTTCTTAAAATATTTCACGATGACAATTATATGCATCAGCAGTTCCTTGTATGGTTCATAAATTCTCTCTTCGAGATGCTTGTCATTTAAGGAACTAGGGTCTTTCAACATAATTTTTCGACGAAGATCCACAAAAAATATCATAAACGTAATGAATACACATGTATTGTACTATAAATTGTCACAACTCAGAAAACCACAGTCGATATTTAATTACACTACTTTTGAAGCTCTCTGAACTTGGTACGTAAAATCAGGTAAATTCTAGAGAATTTCTGCTTAAACATTGACTAGAAGGTGCCGAATAGATTGGACACAATGGATTAGGCCTATGCTTCCTGTACAAGTAACAGAAGCTCAAATTTCTCCACTCCATTCCAGAAACAAATTTTTCTTCAAATCGGAACTGTCATGATTTGTTTTTACATAATTTCGTGTCTACAGTTTCAACAACTAAAAAAAATTGTGGACTCTAGATTTCCCAATTAATTTACTAAATTATGTCAACAATTGTGCTAGGTCTAACTGTAGTTTGTGTCAACATGAAAATTATGTGAGATTTCAGGTTCTCACGGTGGCGTGTATAAAGTTGACTGTCTATTGTGATAGCGCCGTGTGGTCTGGTTGAATTGTACCGACGTTTCAGAGGTGTTGGTTACCTCCTTCAACAGGGAATTAAGTCAATGAGTCATCGACCTGATGATGGAGGCAGCAAATAACTCTGAAACATCGGTAAAATTCTACCAGACTACACAGTGCTACATCCCAGAAGACAGTCAGTCAGTCAGTCAGTCAGTCATCGTCAAGCAAAGTAACTACTTTGACCGGATTTTATTGAATGGCGCCTGCTTAAAATACACGAGACGATTGTTTAGAAGTATAGGCTATGTGGAGGCCATACAGATCCCGTAATTTAATTCGACACAGCACTGTAGCCTTCCATGTTCAGACATGTAAGAAGACTGCTGCTTTAAACCCAAACTAATCTTACCTAATTACGCCAAGTAATGAGGTGAGGTGAAAGTAGTAAAAATGGTTGGTTAATTTAAGTTAATACATACAGACACACATATTTATTACACTCCATGGATCCATAAGGAAGTCAGATGACATTAAGTCGTGGAAAAAGTCATAACATAATACATATTTCCAAAAATGCAAACGTAAAATTGTAAGCCACATCATTTTCCTCTAAAGTATAAAATCATATTGCACGAAACGTAAAAAGAATTTTGTTTTAGGCTTTTTACAAGACAGAAACAATTTACTGTCAGTTGCAATAGGCATTTTGGCACACTAGGCATTTTCTACTGCTCCATTCCCTTACTCAGTAGGTCAGATACTACACTGAATGAGTTACCCCGGCTCCGAACTGCCATTTCTACGAAACGTATTAGTATTTAATATGTAATAATCAGTTCAGATGCCCACAAAATCAGCAGTAACAACTGTACTGAATTTCACAAAAGCAGGTTCAAAACAGCGGGCTATTTATTACAGTTCTGTAGGACATCCATTTTGTAGGAATTCACTCCTAGGGCGTGAGGAAAAAATGCGAAGTCTACATACAAGGATTCAGACAGGCAACCTACGAAATACAAGACAGAAGAGAAACCGATGGGTTGTAGCACCGTGTAGTCAGGTAGACGTTTACCAACTTCAAACAATATGGTGCTAAGTCATCACCCTGATGTTGAAGGCAGCAAGGACCTCTGCAAAGTTGGTAAACAGCAACCAGACTACGTGGCGCTACGACCCAGAATGCAGAACTCAAATCCTACCGAGATAACCGTTACAACTCAATGTTTGTAAAAAATATATTGTAAACAAAAAGAGAGGGATCTGTTCTGGACATCCTTGGCATTCAGGGAAGGGCTTATCCAAACAGGATGTTGGGAGTATTTTTTGTATGTCTAATATACTTTCCCAACCATGCATACTCGTACAAGTGTCTTACTGCCAACAAGATACATGACGTGCGCATTCTGTTGTATACTTTCTTGGAATAGCTGGCACATATAATCGATAGCGAACACCGTTTGCTACAGAGCGGAAACACAAACAGGTAATTAACATATAATAACAGCCTACTGTGGGCAATCAAACAACATCGAGTTTTTATGTTTACTTTTTGTACCAGTAAGACAATTTCTTTTTGGTGGCTGTACCGCACGCCACTTTAAATAAGGACCACAACGGGCGTCGGAAGCCACGTCACTGGAACTTTGTCTGTTACTCCTAACATCGACGTAACTTTGACGGAACTGGAAGGGGTCACGGCCAACATTGACATTAAATCACGAGAGTGGCATTTATTACTCTGTTCGCGAGAGCCAATATTACGAACTGAATTGTTATTTCAACAGCAATACAGTGGAAATTAATAATGATCAAGCTACTGGAAGAAACTATGTGGGAATATCTGTGCTCGAACATGAAAACCACAATTTTAAGTTTAAGTACTCATTCTAACCCCTCACTTAATGGTACCTGCACCTTGTCGTGATGGTAGGGCTTGAGTACCTCAGTGATCCCAAGAGCTATGCTGGCGGTAGCATAGTTACTGGTAGGGTCGAGGGGGAGAGGTCAGACTAAGACAGGTACCCTGGTCCTCCAGGTTGGGGGTTGGTAGCAAGGCTAACAACCTTGCACCATAAAAAGGAAGATGTTTCGAAACCTCAATCAAAGCCTCGGACAGACGGACCTATCATAGGACCGAATGGAAGAGGAGAATTGAGGAGGCCATGGACCGAATACGGACCGGAGAGCCATAGAAGAAGAAGACTCATTCTAACCAGCGACATCCTATTCCGAATAAGAGAGAATATTCCAAAGAGCGTAAATGAAATGCATCACAAAAATGTAACAAATAAATTACGGTTTTGTGGAACTTTGTGGCAGCATATTTCTTCTTTACTAGTGAGATATTTTACCTTAATACGTGCTAGCTAAAGGCTGCGTTTAAAATAGCCATAATCCTGTATACTTGTGTTTCAATGCATTCACGATTTGATTTACATTCGTCTAGATTCAAAATAATTTCAGAAGGTCAATTTTCATATGGAATATGTAAGAAACTAATTTCTGCAATAAAACCACGGCTGGTGCATGAAACTGGTTTGGTTGTCTGAAGAAATATCTTACAAGGAAACATAAGTTATTCACATGTATGTTATGGAAATATTTTATCATATTACTTTATATTTCTCTTGTGTAATAATGTAGCCTGGGACTACAGTATTTATATCACTTAAATTATATACGTAAGGAAATATTTCATTAGTTTCATAATTACTCTACTGCACCATGGTAGATGAACCATAAATAATCGCACTTGAAATGTGTGTCAACCACAGAAAAAGCGGAGCAGCGACACGTGTATTGAATTATGTTTTCCCTCTTTCTACTTAGAATACGGGATAAAAGATAAATTACCCATAGACAAACTGATAGTGTTCAAGGTGTGTGTGTGTGTGTGTTTTATAAACGGATATGAATTATTAACAACCTATGTAGACAACAGGGTTCGCTCCCGGATTTTCTAAAGAATTCAATTAAACTTGTCAAGAAAATTTCAGTGATATTATCCTTCCAGCTCTGACGTTTGGTGAAAACAGACTGTAACTTTTCTAACATCCTGAATGTTAAACATTATTTCGTTTATATGTGAAATAAACACTTTCTAGCGAATACTTTAAACATGCCCTGAACAATTTTGCAGCCATTAAATAAAAGCATATAACAGGATCCACGTAACTTCGGTGATTCTCAAGCGTTTTCTAAAGAACTTGCGCGAAACAAATTACTGTTGTAGTGACATCACATTCCATGCAAGAGAAGATAGTTGAATCAGGTGACTGGCTACAGTATGCACAACAGGGGTTCAATGACCGTCATGCAGACGAATATTTTTCTTCGCCTTCAAACCCAGATTGGCTCTGAAGGCCACTCAGTCTTGCATGTAAGGGAGAGGCCAAATGGGGGCTCTTTGTTCGGGGTTCATAGCGCACGGAGGGTGAAGCTAACCGCTCACCTCTCTCTAGTTTCGATTTCAGAAAGACCTGTGGCGACGTTTCTAAACATAGGTAAAAATTTGCAGGTACAGAACATCACACACACGCGCGCATAGTTTAATTAACCTTTCGGAGCCGGAGCTCGTGCAAATAATATTTATGAATTCTGTCCGAACCACAAAGTAAACACTTAACTTCATTATTTCAAACATACATTTTGAATGCTGTTTAAGGAAACAATCCCTATTTACAATGAAAATAATAAACACAAAGAGTTACTGATTGCTGAAGCAGGTGGGACATAAATTTGCCATTGGACTGGGTTAATAATGCCATCTGTCCCTAAAATGTATCTGCACATTTTTGGTATGTATGCACACCTGCCATTAGTGACATCAGCACACAAGACGGATGAAGTGTACACAGAAATCAGGCATTTCTGTTTGTAATTATGATAAGAAAACCAAGAAAACATGATTTTGGGCACAGGGACTTTGAAATTTGACTAAAAATTTACGCCCTTCTTATTAAATATGCTACCGTCTGGAACCACAAGCTCAGAATTGCATTTTTGTTTCAAGAGATGCTGGAACTGCAGAGGGTCGGATTTCTCTTCTTAGTCTTATATGAAGTTATGTCCTTTGCAGCTGAAAGAGTTGTGGAGATTACGGATTGTTATGAACTGTGGAAAGAAATGGTCGTGCAAAAGAAGTGGTCTGTCTTTCGGTACGCTACTGACATCCAGCTGTAGAGACAGTGCAAGATTAATCATTGAATCCGACTCTGAATTCAAAACTACTTTTGCAATACGAATCAGAATCATACTGAAGACCTAACACGTTGTCAGCGTTGCTTTATAATGACAAAAACATCAAAGAAAATTGGCACCGGGCAAGTTGGTGTACCGGTAACGCTTTGAACTTGTTTATTCGGAAGACATCCGGAAGAAATCTCGTGCGAGTTACCCACTATTCTGATAAAGGTTATTCATGGTTCTGCTGATTCTCTTCAGTTGAAAAACGAGACAGTAATTTAAAGCAAATCACGAGTACCGCCTTGCAAGTTGTTACAATTCCTTACCATCTCCCGATCTTATTCCAAGCTATGCTACAGGTCTATACAATTAAAAGAGCGTTTTTAAGTAACATAAAACTCGGTGAAATTTCAGGTTCTCACGGCAACGAGAATGAAGATAACCGTCTTCTGGGATGTTGCGCGATCTCGTAGAAAATGAGTTACGTTTCAGAAGTCCTTACTGTATCCATAAACCTGATAATGGTGGCAGTAAGCACCTCTGAAACGTTGGTAAATTTTCTACAAGTCTACATGGCGCAATGTCCCAGGAGACAGTCATCTTCAGCATAATACCGGATCAACAACTTAGATAAAATAAATGCCAAATAACGCTTGGTAAGAAGGCCTACACGTGCGGACAAACAGAGCTATATTTTAGTTACAGTCTAATCAGTGCCTCATAAGAAAACACATAGACAAAAGATTCATAATCATAATATTCATTTTCAGTAAATCATATCTTTTGCTCCTCCTTCCCAATTAATGAAAATATTTTGTTGTACGTGTGAAAATGACGTGGTGATGAAATATTACCCTACTCGTAAATAACTACGTAAACATTTTATGAGTCTATACATCTGACCTTGGCGACTAGAAATCTTCACGCCACCCTGCTTGCTACATCGAAGATAAATATGAAGATTGCATTTACGTCAGTTGGACTCTTCTTCTGCTTACACAATGATAAGCAGAAACGTTTATATAGCGAGGGCAAGGTGTCCTATCATTTGATAACACCTGTGAGAACCTGTGATATATTCTGGAACACACTACAATTTTCAGTGCAACATGCATATCCCAACGATAACGCATACATCACGTAGACGATAAATAATGAAACACTTCAACATTTCGGCTTGCATCTATCCACTCTGCTAGCCGTAAAAAGTTTTCACAGCCACGCCAAACAGCGTGTAGGGGGATTACTGTTTTTCGTTGACTGAGAATTTATGCGGATATTTAAGGCAAGCTGGGAGGTACGTGGTAGTAGATCACATTGTCTCTCTTGTATTATTCTGGAGATACTGGAGAAAATACCGAAAAAATAAAGATTGTTAACATGAAATTAAATTTAAACCAAATCTTGACTGCATTTCAGGCAATTGTGCTACTCCATTAAGTTACCAACAGTTCAAATCGAAGTAAGACAGGTTGGTTTCCATTTAGTTGGCATTTGGAATCATTAATTGGCGTGATTATTATTAATGCTTTATAGGGCAATCAGAGAATAATCGATGTAAACACAAAATGTAATTTATGATTTGTTTTAGTTTAGTTCCACACTTTTGCGAGATATTTGTAAAGAAATGAAACGTTCGAATTCTGGAAAGAAAGTATCAAAGAAAACTGTGAAATTAAAATTTGACTAAAAACTCCAAGAACATTTCGACACAACTCCCTCATTAAAACTAAACTATATCACTTCGACGAGATACATTCTGAAAAACAGGTACCGCTACTGTGTTACAGAAGCCAATTACAACATGAAGAATGAAAGTATTTCGCACTGATGTTTCTCTTACATAACAATAATGCTGGAAGCCCGAGAGATCGACCAACAGACGTCCTCGTCGTGGGCTAGCTGCCACAGGATGTGCGTCATCATTGACTCGAGACAGTCAGGTGATGTTTTTTCTATCACCACATGCTCCCGTGTAACATTTAGAATGTTGTTTAACCCTTCTGTCTGTGACATGAAATTTCCAAACCATCTATAGCAAGTACAAATCTGGCATCTTATGACTTGCCAGTGAACCATCCGGCAACGGTCTTTCACCTCAGGTGGAGACATACCTCAGTGACGTTGCCTCACTCCATCCAACGATGGAAATCTACTGCTCATAAATAAAGAATAAGTATCCTCTGTATCAAAAGAATGCTTGAAGGGCCTTCTTTGGTTCGCGCTGGTCTCAGCCTACGTAGAGTTGTTTTATAGAGTACCTAACCCAAGCAACAAATTTTTCCAGTGACAAGGCCAAAATTTGTTCCCCACTTCGCCAGAAACCATACTTGCATCACCCTACTCATTCCACGAGAATTAAATCCAAATGGTTATATTGCTATATTTCATTAATGTAATTTCATTACGAAAGTCAATCATGTTTCAGAACAACGATCCTCGGCCATGAGAGACGAAAACTTGTATAAATTGTCCTACTCACATCGTCCACATAATGAACTTCGTCGACTGAGTACATCTTCTTGAATTCGTCCTTGCTGAGAAGTCGGCCAATCCAGATGGCAAAATCTTCAGGAAGTCGAGGCATGAAGAGCATCGTCTTCGCTGTAGATACCTCCACGACGCCATAGAAATCCGGTTCCTTCACGCCGAACATCCAGTGGAAGTACGGTTCCTGTCATCAGCAAAAGAAAAAAAATCATAAATCGTGGTACAGTTGTTAGTACTTCTGTTTCGGATTCGGAAGGCCCCGGACTCAAATCTAACCCAGAGACCGGCTATCATGACTTAAGTTTTTCGCGGTTTTCCACAGTCCCTCCAATGACGGGACAGTATCTTAAATTGGGCCATGATCGCTTCCTTCCACATCCTTTCCAATTCATTATTCACTATCATCCACTCATTCGACGCTATACAGTTTGAGATAACACAAGAGTCGGAAATAAATAATAAATAAAATAAATTACCAAGTCAAGTGTTAACCACTCTGACGCGAAGAGGGGTGATACAATGGATAGGGAAACAGATAAAATTCAACGTATTAACGGATTAATCACAGTTATATATATATATATATATAAATAAAGATGGGGGTGTATTTTATAAGACCACCCTAGGAATCTTCCTGAACCAAAAGATGCCTATCATATAAACTTTCAGAACAGCTCACATATCGAGCACAAAGCAGATACGATATCCACCGATTCCCTTCAGCATGGGTTCTCAAACTTTGTATCGACTCGTGGGACGCAGTGTTATGACGGCAGTTTAGGCATTTTGAAACGCCATGGCAATTTATCAAAAATACTACTAAATCAGTCCTGCCGTTCCGAACAGATTCACATATTGCTCAGTAACTTTCATTAGTGAGATGTCTGACCTGCTTCTGATTGTCATTTAATTAATTTCTCTTGTTACAATTCGCATGCATCCCTCCACGTGTTCACATGGAAGAAAAGGTGTCATAGTTCTTGATTCGACTTCTAGGCAGACACCAAAGTTTCGAAGAAACATACCATCTTCAACCCTGAAAATAGAGCCAGTATGTTCTTCCGAAAAGTTGGTATCTAACCACACGCCCACGACGTTACAACCCACAAGACCACTGCCGTGAGAATCTTAACACTTTGAAGGTAATATTTAAGAATTCAGTCCGTACCGCAAAGAAAAAACACTTTACCGTTACAAAGATAAATTTTTTCATGGTGTATAAGGAAGCAATCACTGTTTATATTGACAATCATACTGCTGTCATAGTATGTCCAAAATGTCAGGCAAAGGTAAAAGTATCTTCTTGGCGTGACAGGAACATTTAAATTCAAAGTCGGAACACTGGATTCATGTCACGCCAATAAGTTGGTGATATGTAGCAGTTTCTTCGTATTCGCTGCTCAATTATTTGTGTTAACAAGGTTTTCAACAGTGCAGCGAATTTATTGTTGGACACTGCTTGGGAACGCAGCCGTACGAAGCAGTTAAAAGGGCACCTCGGACGCACTTCACAGAAGCTGCTGTGACAAATTGGCCAACCAGTTTTGACTTGTTAATCGGCAGTTTCTGCGAGTATGTTAAAACGGGTAGAGTTATGTCTACAACAGCGTAGGGAAACTTTCAACATATGCAGTAATTATATTATTATAGCCTCAACATGTAATTATAATAAACATGACATTAATCAATGGGTTGTGTAACTTTTGGGACACACCGTATTCCCACAATCGGGTTTCCCTTTTTCCTACTTATTTGAACAAGTACTGATAGCAACCTCTGCATCTAAACAGATATCTATTGTTACAATCAGAACAGCTAAGTCAATCACAGCATTTAATTTTCTCTTCAATTTACAGTTCCTTTACAGCCTAAAGACATATTCCACTTCCTTGCACATGGATCTCCCCCCCCCCATTAAAGTAAGGTCTACCTGTGTGTTATGTTATTAATACTACAGCAGCCATCACCAAATTTCATACTTGAAGGCTGCGTAAGATATTCAAAACCTCCTCCCGATGATTACTGTGTGGCTCCAAATTATTAGCTTTGCTACATTTCGAGTTCTGAGCTGCCTTTACTTTCCTGGGCTCGTTATTAGTGTTACAACGTTGTAAGATTTTGCTGTGACCTTTGAAGCATGCAATTTGGTAACGGCTCCCTGATGATGGACGCAGTAAGGAGCTCTGAAACGTCGGTAAACGTCTACCACAGCACACGGCGCAACAACCCAGAAGACAACCATGTTCAAAACAGGTCAGCCTCCACTTGTGTTAACTATGCCTGTACGTCTTTGTGGCGTATGGATCTTGCACTTTGTTCAGATGACCTAATTGTTGCAGTAAAGCAATTCTTTTTGCGAATCAGTGGCACAGTAGCCTAATGCTGAGTGAGAGGTGTCCTCAAGTCATTCTGACGTCATAAAACTTACAAAGCTGCAAAGAAAACAACATCCGTTCAGCCTACACTTTGAAGTATGTAGTTCACAGCAGAATTAATACAGACAATCGCACATTGTCTGAGGTCACACGAGACTGCTTGTGAGAAGCTGGAACAAACGCACACAATACAAAAATTCTCATACAGAGGATGCACTTGTGGATAACAGGACAACGAGGCCTAATTAGAAGATAGCATAATTATTATTTCAAAGTTATACAATGTTCTGACTTTAAAAAGAAGCCTTAAATTCCTGTTTGCTGATCCATATCTCAAAAGCAAAATCACGTTATCCTCAATTCTTCTCGTGGTTGTCCTGCTACTTTGATCAATCAAGTTACGAAAGAAGTGGCTTACTTTAAACAGTTTCTCTGGAGACAAAAACCCAAGCTTCAACACGAAATTCCAACAATGAACAACATCCTAAATAAATTCGATACAGTTCATACCTTTAGAACATATTTCTCTAAGATTTTTTTAATATCATCGCTTCTGCTTCTAGGTTTTTCTCCATCAAACTTCTGAAAATATATTGTTTCTCAACACATCCTTAATTTTACTATTCCGATACGTCTGCTGTATGAAATCCTGGTTATGTACTACAATTCTAACTAGGAACAGACAGCAACTCCCAACAGGCAAAAGCTGAAGAGCTTACAATTCTCCCTATTGAATCATCACCCCAAGATGGATGTTAACTGTCTTGGTAGCCGGCACATTCCAAGCATAACGGTAACTTGAGTCGAGACTGTCATGGCTATCATCTTGTTTACATTACGACAGCAGATTCCAGGAGCGTCTTATTATTGCAAGTGAATGCTTACATCCCAGAAACGAGGAAAACAAGCGTTGGTTGAAATCAAAGTGCCTCTTACACATCTGTTACCGGAAACAAGCCCTACTTCTCTTCTGTGAGAAAATAACACAGCGAACACAGTTATGTACCATAAAAGCAGGAAACCTGTCAAAGAAAAAAGAATCCGGAAGGGGGCAGAACTTTCAGCAGACAAAAACGTTAATTAACTTTGCAAAAAGAAAAAGAACTTTTGGATTCACAGACGCTGATATTATTGATAAAATGGAGGATCTCTATTTGGAACAACTGATCCAGTACCAGACACTTCAATGAGAAACCGGCCGTAGCTTATGCACTCAACTTTACCTGCCAGTATTACTGTAATATCTAAATAAGTCATGAAGTAATATATTGCTTCTGCCCACATGTTGTTTGTTTATCCCTTTGCGGTCTCTGTCGGACCGAGTCCGACATTTAAATATCCGAGTTCCGGTCCGATGTCGGACTGAGTCCGCCACGTATTTTACGAATTTTTTATGTGATCTGGAGTCAAACTGAGGCTGGCAAACAGTGTCAGCATATCATTCAAGAATTCGTCACTGTACTAGTTTTATCCTAGTTTTCCTGGTAAGACTTTGTATACCTTATAACAGTGAAAGGAGGCAGGAGAGAAAAGTCGTTTTATTCCGACTCGTGTCTAAGGAAGGCAGCTGTCATTTTAACTTATATTTTATATCTAATGAAGTTATAAAACAAATATCCCATCTTCCTAATATGAAATTATATTTCTAAAATTATTTTTGCCGCATACAGCAATCTACCACTGACATGTGCGTATTTTTCGTCTTCTTATCAAGCATTCTTTATGTGTAGTGACTTCATCGTTTACACTTCGCGTTCTGTTTCAATTTCCTGGTGTTGATCTTGGTCTTGAACTTTCGAACACAATCACCGCTAAAGGAAGCACAGCTCTGAGAATATGAAGTCCAATGCTTATGCATCGTATATCTCCATGCAATAAGAGATGTTTAGAGGTCGCCAAAGCCTTATCTACCGATTGCTTTCTTCTCTATCGAACGACAGGAACCAGAAAGGCACCACTTAATAATACACACCTCGCTAGCGGCAGTGGTACAGTCCGTGAAAAAAATGTTTCTTACGGTAAGTATTCAAAAAAGAGGAACTGTGATCCTCTCAGTACATATTTTCACCATATTTAGAAAAGTGTCTTCCGTTTTATGCAAATTAAACAGAAAATCAAAACAGTTCATAATAGTAGTTGAATGTATACAGCTTAGTGGCATTTAAATAGACCAGCAGGGAGCCCTAGTGGTATTTGAAAGGGACCGCAAAGGGTTAAAATATCTGCAGCCAAAACCCGTGTTTTATTAAACTAAAAAGTATCACATGAACGATTCTTAGGTTCTTAATGACGTTGTTTCTGTTACAGACGTTACATTGCATCGAATGAAATGGAACGAGGATCACAAATGGTCAGCAGGTAATGATTTCAAAGGAGGTAGTCGTGGCCTATCTCTTGATATTTTCTTGGCATTCTGTTGGAGAAACTAAGGAAAACGATGAAAATTTTCAATCGGAATAACAGGCTACCTGCTGGGATTCGAACTGAAAACCTCCAGGATATATCACCGTCAGTCTATATAACAGACGATAATTCAAATCGTTCAGTTAATGAGCTCTGATAGTGTTATTACTAATTAGTGAACTGTGAGAGTTCAGAAATTGGGGCTTATAACAACTATAAATGAAGAACTGTAAACAGCTTACGTCACACACTCTAATGGTGTTTATGTCCGATCAATGTTACATTTACTTATGTTAATTTATACGTAGTTCACAGTACGGAGTATACCTATTTGCATCTCACGTATGTAAATCCATGCACATAATGTTCTTTCTGAGTTGAACAATATTTATCACAGAGTCCTTAT